CTACCACTGAGCCACGCCCACAGGCCCTCACTGGGGGATTTCAGGCAAGGGCTCTACCACTGAGCCATGCCCACAGGCCCTCACTGGGGGATTTCAGGCAAGGGCTCTACCACTGAGCCACGCCCCCAGGCCTCATTCAGGGATTCTAGGCAGGGGCTCTAGCACTAAACCCCCAGCCTCATTTTTATCTTTCATTTTGAGATAGGGTCTCAGTACATCATCCAGGCCAACCTTGGACTTACTTTGCAACCTAAGCTGGCCCTTGGTTTCATTCTTTCTAACTCAGCCTCCCACATATCTTAGATAACAAGCCACACCCCACTTCTGTTTTTCCAAAATTGCCTATATGATAACTGAAAACAAATGCAGAGGCTCAATCTGTGTGAACATCATATAGAACAGTGCCCTGGAACAGGAGCCCTGTGAACATAAGCATTCCGGTGCTTAATAAAGTCCTGGTAATCAGGACGGCCCTTGATGCACTGCAGAGGGGGCTCTATGGTAAAGGTGCTTGCTGCCAAGCTGGGTGGCCTGAGGTCTATCCCTGCAACCCACATCGTGGAAGAAGAGAACTAACTTCCATGGGCTGTCCTCTGACCTGCAGACACACACACACACACACACACACACACACACACTGATAAATGTGCACACACATAAGTAAAATAAATGTAATTTTCTGGATAAGTGGGGTTGTATCCAGTCCTTACCTGGCAGGAGTCCCTTCCCTCTTCATCACCAGCGCAGAACATGGTCTTGTCTATCTGTCCTGGGTAGGATTTTTCACACCTCTCCTTGCTGAGCACAGTAATATTCAGGCATTGGAGGACTTTCGGGAAGTTATCTATTAAGCAAGAGAGTCATGATGGGCAGAGGACAAGAGAGAGCATAGCCTGGCATGCTGGTGCAAGCTTGCTGCCCAAGCTCTAGGCATGCTGTGACAGGAGAATACAGTTTTAGTCTGGGCTAGTTCGGGTTAGCCTGTGCTATGTGGGGAGATCCTTCTGTAACAGCTGGGATTAGGAGGAACCATAACACTTACTGTGGCTGCTGCTCGTTGTCCCCCAGCCAGACACCATGCACCTGGTCCCCTCGACGGGACAGTCAGGAGCAATTTCGACGGGCTTCACTGAGTGAGAGGCATGGATTTTTCTGTTCATTTTGATGAGCATGAGATCACTGGAGTGGCCAGGGTGGGAGTAATCAGGATGGGGGATGGATTTTACTCCCTGGAACATCTGCTGTCCAGACTCGTAGACAGGTGACATGGAATGGTGGCCCAGACGGATTCTGAACACTCTGAGGGATATGGCAATGCTCTATCCCAGCCCAGAACTCTGTCCCCCGTCCAAAGCAGCCTCAACCGCTCCCTGCTCTAACCCATCCTCAACCCCAATTCCACTCAGCTTCCACTCAACTTCAGCTCACTCCCAACCCCACTTCTTCCCACCCTCATCCACAACTCAACCCTGGCCTCAACCTCAACTCCTCCCACTTAAAACCCGGTTCTACACCATCATCAAGCCTAACTCTACATGTAGCTTTGTCAGCTTCTATCCTGTGTGCACCTCCATCCCTTCCACCCCATCCCAGCTG